CTCTCTCTCTCTCTCTCTCTCTCTCTCTCTCTCGTGTAATTTCAATAGGAATTAGATATTGTTCTCAACTTTGTCCCCAGAGAACCAGATCAAATTGTAACTCTAGATTATATACTAAATGCATACAAATCTCTATAATCTTTAAGGAGTGGTTTTAGCACATTTATATTTCACAGCTATTCCAAAAAGTAATTCCAAAGGTGGCTAAATTTTTATAAAATTCTTCCAAAATGTCTAATATTACATAAGTGTCTAAAAATGCATTTACCATTAAAAGCTGATTTTTTACTTATTAGGGAAGTTTTGTTAAGCCTTTCAAATATAGCCACTTTCCCCTTATCATATCTCTAGATATCAATATCTTTACTTGGTATGAAATATATGACTCTTACTATATCTACATTCAAATCTGTTTCACTAGAACAATTACATTACAGCATATCACTTTTCTTTAGGAGGATTTTAGCCCCTATCTTCCGAAGCAAAATTTGCTTCTGAGTTACTAATCATAGAATCCCTAAAATATTGTTTTCAGATACAAAATTAAATTTGTGTGGAATACTCAAGACATAATGTAGAATTACATCTTTTACAAAAGATATTATTGTTACAAACAACTTGGATATTAATCAGAACTTCTTGATAACAGAGGTAAAATTACATAACATTTTTCTAATTCTACTTTGAAAAACACAATTTATTTTAGAAATAACTTTTACCTTCTTTTAAGTTCTCGGGATCCTGAATTCTCATGACCAACACTTCTCATCCTAGTGTTTTCTAGATTGCGCCATTGTCCCCTTGGTTTGTACTTCAAAATCTCATTTTGCCACTCATCATCAAAAGCATGAGCATCACCTACATTAAATATCAAAGTAGAGGGGGTAAATATTAAGGTATCAAGTGTCGGTAAGTGCCTTGCTCCCCACACATTTCATTCTAGCCTGATGTTTCCATTAGCCTAACCTCAAGATAGACACAGGACCATATCCAAATGTTACTTCTCAGACCAAGGGAGTGCCTAGACCGGCACTGTCCAATATGGTAGCCACTAGTCATATGTGGCTATGGAGCACTTAAAATGTGAGTTGTCTAAACTGTGTGAAAAAAAAGGGTAAAACAGTTCATAAAAAATGTTTATATGTGATTACATGTTGATATGATAATATTTTGGATATATTAAGTTAAATAAAACCTATTACTACATTTAAAAAATGAGTAAGGAAACTACTTCAAATATAAAGGTCTCTGTCTGATTCAGGGTAATATGACGTTTTTTGTTTGTTAATCTTATATTTCTATTGATAATTTGATTTTTGATGATCTGGTTCTTCATGCACCTGCCTGGAGATCATATTATTCTACCCAATGGACCTCTTGACCCAATTACACTGACTTACAGTCTTTCTTCCTGGATCTTCCCATAGTGGTAATCCGTTTCCTCTGTATTTGGATAGTCCTCCTGTGACTAGTACTCCCTATTGACCTCACCATTTTCCTTTGTCACTTGGCCTCACAAGCTTCTGTTGGCAACTTCCTAAGACAGGTTACTCATCTCGACTGGGGATTTATGTTGTTATGAAGTAGGTAATCTTACTTCCATAATAACAACAATAGATAAATGATAATACCTGTTCTTTCAGATTGCCTTTATAATAATGTATTCCTTCACTAAATTTTTCTTTAACAGGTTAATTATTGTGAAGTACTCCATATATAAATAGGACAAAATTACAAAGTTTAAAATTAAACAAAGATTAAGATGTTGTGACTTCCATCTCATTGAATAAGGATAATTTTATCAAACTCCAACCTTAAGAGAATTTTTTTTAAACAATGATACAATAATTTCAACCCTCTACTATGATAAAACATTTTTACCCAAAATACTTCTGAAAACAGGAGATAAATATAACTTAAAAACTACAATGAGAAGAGTCAGGGTATTGGAAGGATTTAAATACACTGAAGAATGAATATGAAATCTAGAAAATGAAAAGATTTACTTGATACATACATGATATGCTATATATTATATATAAAATATATTTCTAACAATACCAGAAATTAAAATCTTATCTATATAAAAGTCTAAGTGCCCAAAAAATACAGAACTGTTTAAATAAATTATGGTCTATTGATGATAAAACTTTCAGGTAACCATTTGGAATGTCTGAAAAATAACATAATAGGTGACTGTTCACAATTATAATAGCGAATTAAAATAAGCCCAAATTATATAGATAGTAAAATACTGATATTGAAAAAAGTATGTGTGTTTATATATATATATATATATATATATATATATATATATATATATATATAAAACTACAAGGAAGAAATACACTAGAACATTAATAGTAGTTAATTTGGGTTGAGATGGGTAATTTTCATTTTCTTTATACTTCTTTATTCTTTTCAAATGTACTTCTTTGATAATCAGAAATATTTAAATCTCATTTTGCCTACTGAGTCTTACTAAATATAAATTCAAAATATTCAATTTTCCAAGTATAAAATAAAAAACAAAGGATACTCTGAATTACCAAAAATTACTCTAAAAACAGATCTATGAAATGATGAAACTACACTTACACTACTTTTATAAGGTATTCCCTACACAATTATTCATAAACTACCTCAAAACGACATCTTATGAAATGTTTCTACAAAAAATATTCATCAAGTTCTACTAAGTACAGCTGCTATTTTAACTTTAAGAGGAAGAATGCTATCTTCTGTGATAACTTACTTTCATTCATATTAATGAATTCTTGATTGACCTCTTCATCTCCAGTCTTGTTGTTCTTTGACTTTTGAATGACATGAGCTCTGTCATGAAGATGATGACCAACAGCCATTTTTTCTAGTCCACTGTCAGAATCTCTCAATGTTCTCCTAGTTTCCTTTATCTATAAAAGTAAATAAAAATTAGCTACTATTTATTTTTTTTAAGAGTTTATTTGAGTCAAAACCGAAGACAATAGCGGGGGAGCAAGATCTCATATACTACCAAAATTAGCTATTATTTAAATATAGAATGGATATAATTCTAAACTCCTCCTGGCCTATTTACCTATAGAAGTAAGACCATAAATCTGCTGTTCTAAAAATAATGGGTACTCAGTTCCACTACAAATTTACAGTGAAATTATAGTAATAGTTCTCTGATATTTCTTGAACTGCTTGAAATTAAAATGCTAGGACAAATAGAATCAATACAATTTACCCTTTTATTCCAAATTGTAATCAAATATTAAAACAAATGATAACTTAATTATATAACACTTAGTTACTTCAACACTGCCCTTGACAACGTAATAGATGGGAGTACATGCTACCATTCCTATAAGCAAGGGCAACTGATTATTCAGCAGTCATGTTGATGGGCTTGAATCTCATGGCTACCACCTATGAACTCCATGGGTTATTATAACATTTATGATAGTCAAAAACTATTAACATGGTTTGCTATGGGACATCCACATTTATATTCTGTTTATAGTTAGGATGTATGTCACTCATAGCAAGTTAATATTAAAATGTCTGAGATGAATAAGCTACACTATTGCAAAGGCATCATTAAAAGGTATGTCTTACATGTAAGAACTAAAAAATGGACTACTAACACCCATTAGACAAGCAAACCTAAACTAGTGTTTACTGAGTACTAACAAGGAAGTGGAGTAAAGGGAACTATCATATTAGAGTTTGTGGAAGCTGTTTCAATCTCCATGTGATAGTGACTTGGTAATTTCTAGTAAAGACACACACACCTCCTACAACCCAACAGTACCATTCCTAGACCCTTTGCACAAGGAGACATGCATAAAAATGAATAAGTGAGGGCCGGCCGAGTGGCGCGATGGTTAAGAGCTGGCTTGGGACACCAGAGGGCCCCGGTTCGGATCCCATATATGAGGGCCAGTGACACTGCCCTCTACAGCTAAGATGCTGAACAACAGCTCAACCTGGAGCTGGGCAGCCCTGAGTCGCCGGCGACGGCGTAGGCTGCAGCCCCTGTGGCAGTGGGTTGCCATGGGCTACCATGAGCGGCCAGCAGCCAGCAGCCGCAGTGAGCGGNCCCCAATAAAAATCTTTAAAAAAAAAAACCAACTAAAATTTTAGCTAATACATTCAGTCCTTATAATAGTATTTTAATAATTTTGTAAGATCAAAGCCCCTTTAAAAGACAGCTGCATCACAATTTTATTTAGATAAACACCATTTTACATTTGTAATCTTACACAACTGGTAGAGTCAATAACTTATTTGACCCATAAGCTCAATATGGGAAATTTAGAAAGTTTAAATTATGAGAAGCTCAAGTTCAGTTTTATATAAACTACTACTATTTATTAGCATTTATTTTGTATAATGAAACATGGAAGAAGACATATAATTGACTTTATTCGTTCACTACTTTGGCCAAATCCATCACTTATCAGATTTAACAAACCTTTTTTAAAAATACACTTTATAGCCTTACATTCATAATTATATCATACTTAAAAGCTCCTTTTAGCTTTAAACCTTTCTTCTTATAACCATAACAAAGACTATTACTTTTAATTTCACTTGTCCACATTTTATGCAAAAGAAGCACAAATAGTTTCTTTTTCTTGTAGACACTTTGGACTGTTTATTTGGACTAGATATTACTAGATTGCACATATGCCAGAATGATTTTTTTAAAATTTATTTTAAAAATTCTTCAAGTGGAAGGAAAAGATAGGAACAGGAATAAGGGTTAGCTAGAGCCAGTTTTATACTGTTAAAAAGATAAACTGAGGTATATTAAAAAGTCTGAATTAGAGCAAAATGGATTCAAATAGGGCAGCGCCAGCCCAGAAGTGGTTAAGAGTACTCCAGCAAGGGGAACAAGGGAATAGACTTTTACAGAGAAGAGGCAGAAGCAAAGCAAGGAAATGTTTTTGGCTATAGCGTTAAGCAGATGCCTTACTTGGGAAAGCCTAATTGGCTGTTTGTGATTTGGTGTCTTTTGGTTTCAATTTCTTAACCTTGAGGCATTACAGGCTTAGGTTTTATTTTGTTCACGGGGGCTCTTACAAGCTTTAAAGCAACCTCTGTCTAATGGCCTTCTTGTTTAATAAATTTAATAATATAAATATTAAAGTATCCATGTAAAAGGCTAATCACCTTCTCTCTTTAAGGAGAGAGGAGTTTAAATATAAGCCATGTAGTTAAAAAGTCCTGAAAGGTGGGCAGTCTACGTAAATAATGTGGTCTTTTTGGAAAACACAAAGACTCCTTCTGAGGTTTTGTTGTTTTTTTGGTGTTGTCTCCGAAGGTGCCTCTCAAGTGAAAGTCTTCTTCAACATGCCCAAGTTCTCCAAAGTGGTCAGCACAATTCGTTGCTAAAGTTTTGCCAGGAGGTAGTACAAATCTATTCACTGACAAACCCATGAAAAATTGCCTGATGTTCTATCAAACGTAAAACATTGCTATGTCTGTCTCAGGCTGACTACTGACCTAAGAAACGTGTGGTTAAAAGGCAACATGGGTGGGGCCGGCCGAGTGGCGCGATGGTTAAGAACTCGCTTGGGATGCCAGAGGGCCCCGGTTCGGATCCCACATATGAGGGCCAGTGACGCTGCCCTNGTGAGCTCTGAGCAACAGGGTTGCCGGTTAGATTCCCACATGGGTCCAAGCTGAGCTGCCGCTGAGCTGCCAACAGGTGGCAGGATGGCTCAGCTAAAAAATAAGTAAATAAATAATAATTATCTGTAGGACATGACCTGAAAAGAACGTGGAAAAATAATGAACTGTCAATTATTTGCTCTTCTTCTCATTTCAAGATGTCCCATCATTGTTCCATGTTAAATGTTTTACATCCAGTCCATATGGTAGACAGCATCCTTGATGATTCTTAGATCTCTTAGAGACATCTCATACTTAATATGTCCAAAACGGAGCTTCTGATCTTTCTCCCAAACCCTATCGCAGTCTTCATTGCATAAATGGAAACTACACTGTTCGAGTTGCCCATACCAAAAACGTTAGTCCCTTTGACCCCACCCTTTGACACTTCTAATCTGTCAGCATGTGCTATAGGTACCACCTTCAAAAACAGATCCAGAACCTGCTTCTTCTTTCCACCTCCCAAGCAACTGCCATCTCCACAGAATTACTGCAACAGCCCCTGCTGCTGTTCAGTCTATTCTCAGCACAGTATCTAGAGGGTCCTTTTAAGCCAGATCATGTCATTTCTCTGCTGAAACCACTCCATCCTGTGACTTCATTGTTGCTGTTCTCTCTACTATTGTGTAGGTTTGAAATTTTTCATAGCTATTTTTTTTTTAATCTGAAATGGCCTTTCTGCTCTCTGAGGAAGCACCTGCAAAGCCCTGCTGGAACAGCTAAGCCAATGTAGTCCTACTTCCCTTGCCCTTTGCTCCAACCACATTGACCTCCTTGCTGATACATGACCAGTCTTTTGCTCTTTCCTCAGACACCAACGTGGCTCTTTCCCTTACTTTCTTCCCTGTGTTCAAATAACTTCTATCAGTGAGGTGTTCCCAGATCAACTCGTCTAAAACAGCAAGCTTCTATCTTCTCATGCTGCTTCATTTTCCTTCAGAGCACTTCTTAGACATATTGGTATTTTACACATGTTTATTGTCTGACTCCCAATGAAAATGTCAGTTCCATAAGGACAGTGATTTTGTTTTGTTTATTGCTGTATCCCTTTGCTTGTGCTAGGTGCTCAATAAATATTTGTTAAATGAATGAATGAGATCAAATAGAAATCAAAGCAAATTACAAGGGACAAGAAAAAGAAAAATCAGAGACTTAATGATGAATTTCAAATTTACATTTTGTATATCATCCATGTATTAATTTACCATAAAGGATTTGTAAGCTGCTTTGATATGAATAAATTTACTAATGCTGAATATACCTTTAAATAATTTTTTTCATTATACTTTAAAAAATTGTCTTTAAGCCTTTATATGTATTTGTCTAAAATATATAAATTAAATACATAATTATATAGATGGTAAAATAAGGTTTTTACTTTTTAATTTTAAGATAACTATGTTAAATAAAACGGTGTATTACACTGAAATTACCACTTTAACAAAGTTTCCTTAAGTAAAAATTCATACTCATTATCTTGTGTGTGTGTATATATATACATATATTCATATTTTTCTGTAATTATTATTCTGAGTATATTGTTAATTATTTTTATTAATACCACTTTTAACCAAAGTAATCAACTTGTGTTTTTGCCACAGAAAAAACTGGAAGACAAAACCAAGTACTGTCCAGCTCAATTTTTATGACTACAAATTATACATGATCTGTTAAGTTTTAAAGAGGCAAAATACACATATTTACATCATCCAAGCCATGTGCGCATCCTGTTAATTCAGTCATTTTATAATGTGTAAAATAAAGATAAATTAAAACTATCTTTAGTAACCAAAGCTTTGTTTAGCTTTCATTTTTACTTAGAAATTGTCCAAGCATCCAAGGATTAATAACATTTTCTAAGGTTTTGGAAAGTTAACTGAGGATTTGAAAAACTAAAATTTTAGGGCCGGCCGAGTGGCATATTGGTTAAGAGCTGGTTTGGGACGCCAGAGGGCCCCGGTTCGGATCCCACATATGAGGGCCAGTGACACTGCCCTCTACAGCTAAGATGCTGAACAACAGCTCANGCCAGTGAAGCAACGTCCTCCACAACTAGACTGAAGAACAAAAACGACAGCAACTTGTCTGTTCCCCTTCCCCCAATTCCCCAAAAAAATCTTAAAAAAAAAAAATGAATAAGTGAAACATCAGAAATACCTAAATATTTATCAGTAGAAAAATAGATTTAAAAGTTGTGGTACATTCATATTTTGGATACTATTAAGAAGTTAAAATAAAGAAACCACAGCTACATATATCAACTCGAATAAATCCCAGAAGCATATTATTGAGTAAAGTCAAGTTGCAGAGAACCCATGCAATATGAATCCATTTATATAAAGTTTAGAAACATGTAAAATAATTCATTAAATTGTTTATGAAGCATATATAAGTCACAAAATTATAAAGACATGCATTAGAATGATAAATTCCAGATATAGGAAAATGGTTCTCTGAGCGGGAGGGAAAAAGGAAAAGGAACCAAGGAGGGGAGAGCACATGGGAAGCTTTAACTGCAGCTGCAAAGTTTTTTGCTTCAAAAGGAAACAAAACAAAAGACAACTTAATGTAAATAGAGAAAAATGTTATGATTTGACTAAACTGGGTGAAAGGATGGGTATTCATTATATTAGTCTCTATATCCTTTCTGTACACTTGAAATATTTCATGAATTAAGAAATTCATTTACTTCAGATATAAATTAAAGGCAGACATTTATTTCATGAAACAAAGACTTCTTTTAGTGTCTATTTACCTTGTCAATATGTAAAGGTAATAAACACCATAGATATTTACATGCAAAAAGGTATCTGGGACAGGGGTAGGGGGTGGGGGAGATAAAAGAATTGTCTTTAATAGTTAGCTTTATTGTTTTTCACGGTGCCATGAGTCTTCTTGCCACCCCTCACCCCCACTCACACCCACGCAATACAAGATCAAATTTTAATAATTATATAGGTGCTCTATCATTCTATAACTTTATAGAGCTCCACGAATGCTTAGAAAATACTTACTCCTCCTGGAGCCCGACGGGTTTGAGTGGAGGCCTGGAAAACCTTTGGTGGTTCATCCCCCACTTTGGAATAAGTCATAACTGAGGAAGAACTAAATGAATGTGCATTTGGATCCACGGAAAGATGACCCTGGAGGTAAAGATAAGTTGTAAATCGAGAGTTTAGTCAAATATGAAGAATTAATGTCAGAGGATTCAAATGAGTAACAACACTAGCCAGAAGTTTTACTAAGGATGCTGTATGATCAGTGTGGGGTATCCATATGGCACCCCCATGAAGGTCCAATGTTCCTTCCATTTTAGGCACCAATCCCCTCTCCTTGTGAGGATCAACAGGTGATTCATTCAAGGATCCTTAAGTCTGTGGGATCAAAGACTTACGGCTTCAATTTAAATATAATGCTGAGATACTTTTATAGTCAGTGGCTGACAGTTGTATGCAATTTTGCCAGTGTTGAGCCAATTAGCTGTATGCCAAAAAGTTTTATACTTCCTGTGAGTACCAGATTGCTACATATTAAATTTATTATGAAATGATCCTTAGATTCCAAACTGGATGACTAAAATAATATGGGTCTTCTTCATCTCGAATCAAGTTATTGTTTTGATATTAATATTATGAGTAGAAAACTAAGAGAATTGGTACTAGTATTTGGACTATATTGATCTATGTAATCCAGTGTCTAAACATCATTCCTGAAATTTCTATTTTCAGAATTTTTTTAAAACATGGAAACTTAATTTCTTAGATTATACAATTAAGTGGCAAGTTATAAAATAATAAAAATATATAAATTCATATAAAATGTTCATTTACAATAGTGACTTTCAGCAGAACAAATGTTTTAGAGGTTGAATTTTTTTAATTTTGAAAGTTAATACTATTTTTTAAAACTTGTAGCTTGTGAAATCAATTTGGTGGGTTGTGACCAGCATTTTTAAAATATGAAGTAAAATTGAAAATATCAGCACACTAAATAGTATGATCATTTTCTCATAAAACTTTGTTTCAGGTATATTTATACAGTATATAAGTATTGTGTACTGGATAATGATGTAAGATCTATTTTTCAATCACTGTGAACCGTGGTTTAAAAAAAAAGAGTTTGAAAGCCACTATAGTACACGGTACCAATACCGTATTTGCCGGCGTATAAGACGACTGGGCGTATAAGATGACCCCCTAACATTTCCACTCAAAATACAGAGTTTGTTATATACTCGCCATATAATGCATATGTAAAGAAATATATGGTAACCCGAATTTACCACACTCGCAAAATCGCACACAGCCGAGCATACACCCAGCAGCGCTGCTGATGCCTGAACGGTATGTGGAATGAAGTGGGCGGGCATCGGCAGGCCACTATGGCACGGGGCAAGCACTATGGGCAGTCTATCTGAAGTGTACCTGGCGTATAAGACGACCCCCCACTTGGAGGCATATTTTTCAGGGCCAAAAAATCGTCTTATACGCCGGCAAATACGGTAACTGAAAACAATATTCTCATCAAATTTTTAGTACTTACAAAGTTTCTTTGTAATTCTTGCATACTGTTTCGCATATTTAACATCATTCGGTCCATTGCCTGAAAAGGGCTGACATCTGCACGCTACAGGATATTAGGAAGTAGGTTATTAACTATAAGTACAACACAAAAGAAGCCTTTTCCAAAACAGCTGAAATTTTTTTTATCGAATTCTACAGTGGGATCTCATGCAGTAATTGACCAGGCAAAGATAATTTAAGGACTATACAAAGAAAGAGATTTGTTAAAGAAAAAAATTGAAGATTATACCAATCCCAAACAGTCAACATATAAATGATTAGTGAGCTGTAACACTATAAATACATGCATACATTCGTGTGTGTGTGTGTACATGCAAGAACATATACACACATATCATTCGTCAACTTGCTCAAAACATAATTTGGTTAATATTTAAATACTGTGTGGTGTATTCTGGGCTGGGACAGTTCTAGCATAGTCTAGTGTTTAGAGCTTTCTTTCTTCCCTATCTTAGTCCCCTATTACACAAATAAATAAATCTTGGGCGTAAGATACCAGCATGATACTTCCACCAGTAAGTACCACATGGCGGATAGAAGCTGAGCCAGCCCTCCTTTTCACTGTAGGGTCCAAGTGGTAGAGGTTAAGTCACTTTACCGAAGGCTCAGTCGGGCAGGCCTTTGAAGCACGAGGTATGCTCCTTTGGGAGAACAGTTAAGAATTCCTCTAGACCAAGAGCAATTGTGATTCCCGGAGGGGAGGGTATCCAGGGGGAAAGTCATTCTTGTTTGTCACAAGTGAGGAGGGTATACAACTGGCGTGTAATGTGTAGAGGTCAGGGATACTGCTAAACATCCTACAAAGCATAGGTTAGCCCCCTAGAACAAGAATAACTGGCTCCATATGTCAGGTAGTGTTGAGGCTGAGAAACTCTGCTCTAGAAAAATTTGCCATTGACTTTGGGTTTTATCATTGGAACACTCACCAGAAATTAAAAGTGAAGCACCCAATGCATCATCTACTATTATAAAACAGAGAGAATGTTTGGTTCAAGGAACTCAAGCAGGAGGAGTCTTTTGAATCCTGTAAGGCACTGTGGTTCATTGCTGATATTTCAGCCCTTCTAGAGATGCTTTTGCTGTGTGCCAAGGCTGGGACTCAATAAAGAATTATCAGAGATTTGTTCATGTTTCTGCCTTCTGTTGGGGTTTTACTGCTAACAACAATGGGAACTAGAGGGGAGAACCAAATTCCCATAATTTGGTTAATATTCAGAATGCACACTTAATACAGTAGGGAACACAAAGTTATATTTAGGAGATACTGACATATCTTTGGGTACACAAAGGACTGCAATAGAATTAATCTGCATTTCAGAGATTCAGGAACTATTCGGAATATTTTGTTTCAACACCACACTGAAAATCAGGGCTGTCTAAGACACACAGTTCATGAGAGGTGGAAGGGGGCTAGCCCAAGGAAGAGGAGGAGGAGGAAGAGGAGGA